ATGGTATAAAATGCTATCTGTTTGTTTACAGTCTAATAAAAAAGAGAAATCTAAACCCATAATAATAAAAACACCCTTTTGGGTTGACCCCGTGGCTCACTCGGGAGAGTGTGGCGCTAGGAGTGCCAAGGCCACGGGTTCGGATCCTACATAGGGATGGCCGGTGTGCTCTCTGGCTGAGCGGGGTGCAGGCGACACCAAGCCAAGGGTTACGATCCCCTTACCGGTCACACACACACACAAAAAAACAAAAATAAAAACACCCTTTCACTCTTGTTCCATCCTCAAGTATCAAATTCAGTAATTTTCTTCAGACAAAACAATCACTGTTTGGTTGTCTGTTTCAATTTCTGTCCCCCTTTTTGGTAATCTTTCTTTGAAATGACAAATAACTAGCTTCACCCAGGAACCAGACGAGATCCTAGTCAATCTGGAATTTGAGTTTTTCCTTACTAGGTGTGAAAGATATTAATCTATGGAGCACTAAATATATGGAAAGAAATACATAACTCAGACATCCCCAGTACTTCCAGTAACTAATCATCACATAGTGTAAATAAAATGTCTTAAAGTGACTGATTTCACTTTACTCTCACCATCCTAGAGATTGTCTAGACCTGGTTTGAAGATGAATCTACAGTATTAAAATAGAATAAAGCTAAGTTCTCTCCAAAGAATGATGTCTCTTCTCACAAGAAGAATCTCAGCAAAACTTACCATGAATTATTCACATCTTTTTAACGTATTCATATCTTATTAAAATTATAAATTTAATAATGTCTTCTTCAAATCTTCCTGATAGTTCTAATATTCCATGAGAAATCATTTATTTTTGTATTGTATTATTTATTTTCGGGCCGAGCCCGTGGTGCGCTCGGGAGAGTGCGCTGGGAGCCCAGAAGCGCTCCCGCTGCGGGTTCGGATCCTATATAGGGATGATCGGTGCACTCACAGCGCTCACTGGCTGAGCGCGGTGCAGCCAGTCTCAAAAAGGACAAAAAAAAAAATGTATTATTTATTTTCTCTTTTTCTTGGCACATAGACAAAGTTTGATTAGAGAAAACATCACATCTAAATTTCTGGGTATTCTGAGCCATGCATCTCTGCTTTGAATTTGGGCAACTCTCAAATTCAACTCAACAAGTATTTATATATTAATTGTGCATATATGATGCCCTGGGCACACTGCTAGTTCTTGTGAGAGCAGAGCACGTAAGTCACAGAGCTTGTTCTCAGGTAGTTTGGTGTCTAGGCAGGAAGGTGTGTACGTATCAAACACTACACTAGTCAGCTGTAAAAAGCATTATCATTGCCTACAAACAAAGGGAGAATTCATCCTATTGGAGAGATCAACAAAGGGTTCAGAAATAAGGTGAAAATTGAGATCAGCCAAGTCAGTCCAAGAATGTACAAGGCTCAATACATGGAGACTTTATAAATAAGAGAAGATATTGAGAGGTTGGTTAACAGATACAAAATTACCATTAGATAGGAGGAGTAAGTTCTAGTGTTCTATAGCACTGCAGGGTGACTATAATTAACAACAATTTATTGTCTACTTTCTAATAACTAGAAGAGAGGATTTTGAAAGTCCCCAACGCAAAGAAAGGATAAATATTGAGGTGATAGATATGTTAATTACCCTGATTCGGTCATTAAGCATTGTATACATATATCGAGATTTCACACAGTACCCCATAAATATGTACAATTGTTATGCATCAATTAAAAATAATAATAAAAGAAAAAAGTAGATTAAAAAAATTGTAAAAAAAAAAAAAAATTTTAGAATTTAAAATGAGACTTCAACAGCATTTAGGATGCTCTTGTCTTCCTCTCCAGTGATCCCTCTGCACTTTGTATCTGTCTCTATTCTGGCAGTTTGCCTTACAAAAGATTTTATTCCACGTATGTCACTTGTGAACAGAGGACCTTACAGGAGGATCACAGACATATCGCCTTTGAATTCCCAGTGCCAAGGTGAGCACTTGGTATACAGGAAAAGACTGAAGTTTTTTTTAAAAGTGAGTGGACTGAATATTTCAATAGCACTTTGTAAAGTGAGTCAGGCTTTCGAATATATCTCTTTTTGCAAGTTGATTCTTTTGGATTTTGAGTCCCCAGGTGGCTGGTGTCTGCTTCATTTCCAGTGGCTTCCCTTTGGTTGCATCCATTGCTGGGTCAGCTAAGGGGAGGGTGGGCACAGTGCAGACCCTCGTGGTCATGTTTGCCTTGTCCCTGTTCCCACCTCCGTGCTAGATCCTCACTGATCCGGAACAAGCTCACACACATTCATACACTCCTTCCAAGGTGACTTAAAGTTATAAAAGGAACATCTTCTTTTCTCTGGGTGGACATGTCTCACTGCCATTGCTGAGCAGAGCCAAGAGAGCCAAAATCTCAGGTTTCAGAACACACACACACACACACACACACACACACACACCCCTACATCCTTCCACGATGCACAAGGTGCTAGCATGGGCACACAACACACAATAGCAAAGGTGCAAAGGAGACCACTGATCAAGCTGGGGTGTGAAATCTAACGGGAAAATATGGTCTGAGATGGCAAAATGTGTGAAAAAAGAAACAGCTATTTCAACTCTTTAAGTAAAAAAGGAAGATAACATACCCAAGCTGCATCCCAGACATCCTTCTTGACAAGGCACGCAGTCTTCATAGTCTGGGTCTTGGACTTCACCTATATAGTGAGAGAAGTGAAAACCACAACTCACTTCCTCTGAGGGGGCACATTAATTACTGTGAAAATACGCTGGTGTGTAGCTTATTTTGAAGTTAATTATAGAGCAATTATGAAGCCTAAAACCATCCTCGAGGATATATGTGTCATCCACTTTTTTTAAAAAATCACCTTTTATTAATTTAATATATTGGATCAGCTTGATTGGGTATAAGTAAAACAAAGTTGGACTACATGCCATGCAACTAGTTTCGAGGCCCACTGGGTCCATGACACTTATTAAAGAAATCAGTTCTGCCTCTGTGAAAATGGAACTGGATATGTAAATGAACAGGCTCTGTCTCTCTTTTTATCTGTCCTACTGACCACTTTTTTAAAAATAAAGTTTTAAATCTTTTAGTGCATTTGTAAACATTAAGGAGAAACAGAAATGAGTATCTTAATTCTAAAAAAGTCCTGTAGCTCTCTTCAGCACCAGACTAGGCATAATTCTTAGACACAGTAGAGCAACAGTTGTTTTTAATTTTCCTCTTCCTACATAAGATAAGAAATTGGGCAATAACAATCACACATACAATTCACAGACCGTTTTAATATTTTCAATAGTTTTAGGTAGGCTGATTCTCACCGGCGTCTCACAGCAACTCTGTCCTGATGCGATGCTCTCCCCTTCATAAGTGACTAAGGCATCGAGCAATTAGATTAGTTTTGCCCAGGGTCTTACTTATATCTAGTAGTTGGAAAGGAGGAAACTGTTGGCCAGGACTTTTTGATTCTAATCTAATTTTCTCTTCACTGTATCCTGTCCACAAACCCCTCATTCAAGATCACTTTTTATTTTATTTTATTTTTATTTTATTTTATTTTATTTTTTTGAGACCGGCCACACCGCGCTCAGCCAGTGAGCGCTGTGAGCGCACCAGTCATCCCTATATAGGATCCGAACCCACAGCGGGAGCGCTGCTGCGCTCCCAGCGCCGCACTCTCCCGAGTGCGCCGTGGGCTCGGCCCCAAGATCACTTTTTATGTGACTTACTGCATTCTTCTGACCTTAGATTGTATCTGGGGAAAGCCAGAGAAAGGGTGTGTGGGGGAAGAGAGAGGGGTATCCCAAGTGCCAGGAAGGCAATTCAAGTCTCCAGGACAGCCAGCCCCTCATCCCACCTCCTGGTGCTGGGCAGGGGCCCCAGAACAGCCTCACCTTGTCCACATTCTAACTTCTGGCAGGTGTGGTTGGTGGCCACCATGAAGTAGCCGCTTGTGCATCTCGTGCAGACGTGAGGGCTGTGGCAAAGCTCACAGTTGTCTGGGCAGGGCAGGCAGGTGTGCCCCTGGGCAGGGTAGTGGCCTGCTGGGCAGCTCTCTCGACACTCCCCCTGGTACAAGAAGCGCTCTTGGCCATGCTCATCTGTCCAGTTAGAGAGACAACAAAAAGAGGGAAAATGTACAAAATTAGCCACGAAGCTAATAGAATGTAATATGTAGTATATTTTATTAAAAAAATACTACCTAGTGCTTTTGCTCCTAGGGGATCAGGAGTATAAGAATGGATTTAATGAAAAGTGCAGTATCTACATACTTGTACTTGAAAAGTTTTCCTTGCAGGGAATAATTTTCCAATATTTTATGTATTTGAATGAACAGCGACTACTATCTGGGATGTCATTGCAAAACCACAAACCATGCTCTGTGAACAACTGCAATTCAAAACATGTTTAACCTTCCCCAGGCTCCTTTTGGTATCTGTGGAAACTTTCAGACTTGGGGGCTATAGAAATCTCATGAGAATAAACATATGGTTAATGATGGATACATTTCATTAAGGTACAGTCTTTTAAAATGAGTTTGAATTGTTATCAAAACCACACACTTGTGTTAACCATCTAAAGTATGAATTTTTGCACAGCTACTCATTTCCATGACAACCTTTTTGAAGCACTAGACCAAGCACACCTCTGACTCATTTACGTGCATTCCTGAGGGTTCCTAAATTCCATCAACACTGGGCTCTATAAGAATCGACAGTACCCCCAGCATGACAGACTATAGGAATTTGTGCCTGGAGGAAATGGAAAATTCCAATCAGTTACAAAGCACCACAATTAGTTATAAAGGATTATAATAATTTATAACTACAACACAACCATAAGATTAATACAGATGTACCTAGAGGTCCCCAACTTCTGCCCTCCTGGAGTTTTTGTACTGAGTGTGCTCAGGGTATCCATCTTCTCTGAATCAGATTTCCCTTATGTCTCTGCCTCTAAAGAGCAGCCAATCTGTGTTCCCAGAATAATTGGGGTCTAGTGTTCACTCTTAGTGTGGTCTACCACATGGAGTTCCAACACCATTGACCTTCGAGATGCAAGGCTGCTGGATTTGTGGATAAAAACAGCACCAGCCCCATGTTACACATGCATACACTGAAAGTCAGTATAATGTTAGATTGAACCACAGAAATTGCTGATATTTGACTTTGTTTTACTTGTCAATGTGGCACTTTCAAATGGTTCACTCTAATATTTCTTATTTAAGCATAGCCCTAGTTTAAATACAATTTTAAAAAATAACACCCTTGGATTATGGGCTCTCAAACTACCACTTTCAAATGGTTCACTCTAATATTTCTTATTTAAGCATAGCCCTAGTTTAAATACAATTTAAAAAAATAACACCCTTGGATTATGGGCTCTCAAACTACCTCTTTTCTGATTGTCATTTCTTACCAGAAGTCTGCTTGTTCCTGTAGGCTCAAGAAAATAAAGAAGACTTCAACAGAGGTGATGGAAAAATGTATCTGCTGCTTCCAAGTTAGACTTAGAAGAATATTATCCTCTAAGGGAAGGAGAGTGTTTGGGAGGATATAATGTGTATTTGGTGATCCTATAGCTATATATCAGCGTTATGGAGCACAAAACTCTGATCTAGTGGAACGTGGCATCTCAGGAGACCATAAGAGGGTCAACCCTCCAAGTTATGTTCTTCTCACCCACTTTATGAGCCCCTAGCATACATAACTCATTTTTCTGAATGAGTTAACATAACTCATTCAGAAAAAGATCCTGTTTCTCAGAGTGCCCCAGCTTCTCAGATGCAGGTAGGAAGATATGAGGGAGAGCCGTGGGGAAGCCATCTCTCCTCCATTGGCAGGAGCTGTAAATTCCCTACATCTTCACAGGACATCAACTTGGGATTTGGAGGCTTGGGGCAGCATGCCATCCCGTAAATTTTAAAAATGTATTTGTTGAATGATTGAATGAATGAGTGAGTGAGTGCATTTGTATTCAGCAATATTCAGTTTTTCCCATAAGTCTAACTGAATCAACAGTCTTAAAAAATTAACAATGAGCTCAGATATCAGAGTAAATGCTCTTCAATCCCATTTTTATTGTTTAGATATGGCTTTACTATTTGAACTCATTTGGGTATTATAATTTGGGTGTAAAGGACACAGATGTAAAGGGTCTTCATTTTTAAAATACACAGACTTTGCAAAGGGAGGTTACTTAGATGCCTTGACCATGCATGGCCAGTTTCCCTACAGATGTGGTCCAGGATTATGTCAAGATTTGGTCATATTTCTAATAGCCTGAGTAGTATTCCAGCTCACTGAGTCAGGGATGATAATTTGGATAGCCTACGAATTTAAATATCACACATTATTGTTTGGCTACTTGCCCAGGGTCTCCAAATTTAAATTATTGTACTATACTAAATTGTTGTAATATATTCTCCTATCATATGTAGGAGAAGTTGGGTCCAGGAGTAGAAAAGCTGATATTTTTGTTAGGCACCAGAACCTTTCACAGGATAATATGAGGCAAGACTTAAAATGCAAGAAACTCAGAAAGAGGTTCAGATTGGCTTTTGTTTATTCTGAAGAGTAATGAACTGTTAGCAGAGCATTTCTTGGCAGCTGATTTTGTTAGAAGAGAAGGTGGACCAGCGTGCAGACACTGGATGTCTGCAGGAGGAAAGGAAGGTTGAGAGTGGAAGGCACGAGGGGAGAAGGGCTGCTGGAGTGGGTGAGAGCAAGGCTGAGAGGCTCGGAAAATAGACTTTATGTAGTTTACTTAAACATTTTGTGTCCCATAGTATTTTGTGATTGGTTAAATTTAACTGTGGGTCCAGTTTGGTAGAGGATAAATCTGGAAGAGAATTTAGAGTGAATCCTCACCAACATGGTTGGGTATCTGCATTTCCAAAAGGATTCATACCTAAACCTTAATGAAGTTACTATTAAACAAGGGATAAAATCTCTACAAACTGGTGGGAGAGGCTTATGTGGGTAAATGGGACTCCCCAGCCGGAGGATTTCAGCCTCTTACTAAAGCTTCCATGTATGGGTATGAAACTTCTTCGATTAAATCAGCCATCTTTTTTAGCATGGTCTCATCAAAATCTCTGCCACACTTGCCATGCTGATAGTTCTTGAACTAGGGACATTGCACTGTCAGTAGGCAGAGAACCTGCTAAATCAGAGCTTTCTAAACAAGACCCTCTATTCTGAAGAGTAATGAACTGTTAGCAGAGCATTTCTTGGCAGCTGATTTTGTTAGAAGAGAAGGTGGACCAGCGTGCAGACACTGGATGTCTGCAGGAGGGAAGGAAGGTTGAGAGTGGAAGGCACGAGGGGAGAAGGGCTGCTGGAGTGGCTGAAAGCAAGGCTGAGAGGCTCGGAAAATAGACTTTATGTAGTTTACTTCAACATTTTGCGTCCCGAGAGAACCTGCTAAATCAGAGCTTTCTAAACAAGACCCTCTCCAGGAAGCATCCATTGCTCACTAGCACTGAAAGTACTGTTTCTTCTCTGAATTGTGGTAGGATTTCTACCACTCGTTTGGTCTTTATCTAGTGTTTTCTTATTTTGTAATACATGAGGACAAACCCCCTTGTTAGAATGAGAACTTCTGGAAGGTATCATGCTATCATTTATTGCATTTTCCATGGAACCCAATCTATAGTAACTTGTACATGGGAGGGATGCAATACATGTTTAAAATAACAAACCAAACATAGTCTTTCAAGTAGAAAATACATAAGCAATGTCAGAGCGTTTTATATATAGATTGGTCCAATAGCTGTAGGATGCTTAGAAGACTACACGTTTGTTTAGCATCTAAACTTCTTTCCAGTTTTGTGCTGTGTATGGAGATTTAGAGGGTTTTAGGTGTGAAAGTGATTTTAGATGCTGTCTTGTCCTTTCTCCCCCCACCTCCCTTTCTTTTTTACAAATCAGGAGAGGCCTCCAGAGGTGAAGTGACTGGTTTAGTGTCTTAGGGAGTTACAAAGCCAGGACTAGAATCCAAGTTTTCTGACCACTAGTCTTGACATTCTTGTTCCTGAACTGTTCAGTCAGTTATTCACTGCACACCTTCTGTATGCCAGATGCTGTGGAGTGCAAACAATGGCGCAGAAAACAAGGCAGAAATCACGCAGGGCTCTTACGAGGCATAGAGTCTTATGAACAAAATAAACATCAAATGTGATGAGGCTTGTGAAGGGACAATGCAGGGCTCTAAGGGTGCTCATGAGAAGGGGGACTAGCCTAGACAAGCAGGCTAGGGCAGCCCTCGCTGAAGAGGTGATGTTGAAACCCAGATGAAATAGGAAAAAGCCAGACGATGAATGGAAACATCTCAAGTGAAGTCTTGGAGGCTAGAGAAACTCAAATGCCCAGAGGACTAAGCAGATACAAACAATAATAGTAATAATAATAGAAATAAAACTAAGAATAATTTAATACTCATTGAGTGCTTACTATGTGTTTGGCCCTTTTCTAAATGCTTTATTGTTTCATTTCATTTAATATCATTTAATATTCATAATAACTCTAAAAATGGTAACCATTATCACCACCTTATAGAAGAGGAAGGAAATAGAATGAGACAGTCTAAAGATACTTTGTTTACATACAAAACACAAAGCAATAATTTTAATTTATACAAAGGTATGTGCTATTTCCTGTTTTTTTTGCAAATGCACGATGCTCTCAAATTGTTCTTCATTTTTCTTGCTTTTATTGCAAGCAAGAATAAAGATAAATAACTCTCTTCCACCACAAAAGTGATGTAAGCCTGAAGATGATGGTAACCGACAGGCTCAGGATCAGTGACAACTGGGCGTGCTGGGGACTATGGAGAAATGGAGCACAGCCTCTTTCGGACTCCAGTCAACTATTTGGGAAATGCAAGTTTGCCAGGTCTTCAAGTTTTCAAGAGAAACAAACAAACAAAAACCACAGATTTTTATTTGAAATTGCTCAATTTTTAAATTTGGCCAAAGACAAAAAGAATCTAGTCCACATGAGGTCAAAGTAGGAGATAGGCATATGAGATAAGGCTGGAGAGAAGTCAAGACTCAAACTGCAGAGGACTTTTGAGATGGTTGAACGTAATCCAATGGCAGCAGAAAACTTTTAGAGGAATTAAAGCTGGGACACAGAAAGCCACGTTTGTAATGATTTGAAACAATTATTTGCTCCTGCAGGTCTCTGACAACTTCTAAATGGCATAGCTCAGCTCTGAGATGACCCTGACACAGCCTCTAGTATGATATTTTCCATGAAGACTGAATGTATCTTCCTTAATTACCTAGATTTTCACTTTTACTTCAACAAACCTTAGCTTTACTGTCTATTCCTGTCTGCCATCACGTTTAATGCCCTTTCTTTCTCCCTGTCTGGGAAGACATCTCTGGCTTCTCTCTCATCTTCTCAGCAGCAGTGAGTCTGCATCTATAATCATGTGAACGAGGTCTTTGCTATAGTTTGAATGTGTCCCCCATTCAAACTATAAGCCCGTGTATTGGAAATTTAATACCTAATGCAACAGTGTTGAGAGGTGGACCTTCAGGAGGTGATTAGGGCAAAGCCCTTCTGAATGGATTAATGGTGTTATCTCTGGAGTGGGTTCATTATCTTGAGAATGGGTTTGTTATAAAAGTGAGTTCAGCCCTCTCTCTTGCTCTCTGTATTGCATAAGCTCTTGCTCTTCCACCTTCCACTGTGGGATGATGCAGCAAGAAGGCCCTCGCCAGATGCGGCCCCTTGACCTTGGACTTTCCAGCCTCCAGAACTGTGAGAAGTGAATTTCTTTTCTTTATAAATGACCCAGACTGTGGTATTCTGTTACAGCAACAAAAACCAGACTAAGACAGTTTTTGTGTTCTGGCAAGGAGTGGAAACTTCAAGTTCGAATGGGCTCTCTAAGGAACAGCTGTCCCCAACCCTCAACCCCAGAGAGGAGGCTTCTGAGTCAAACCAGATAATGGCCAGTGGGCGAAGAGCAATCGGAAGTGAGGAAGAACCGGTGAGCACCAGGCCCCTCACCTGCTCCACAGGAGGTGCAGTTGGAGGGCCCGCCCCCCTGACATCCTTGGCAGCTGTAGTGGCATGGATGGCATTGATTCTTCAGTTCGTATGTCTGCGAGGGACAGTTCAGCACGCAGCGGCCATCATCAAAAATCCTAGGAGAAAAGGAGACTTTTAGAATTTTTCAGGGTGACTTTCCAAAATGGCCCTAAGTATCAGAACATGTGTATTCATGTATCTCTGTACAGATTTTATTTCATTGCTCCAGAAACTAGGGGGATGCCTGAGAATGATCATCTTAGAACATGTGAAATTAGTCATGTACCCACCCGTGGCCCAAGACTTGGACTCAACAGCGGGTGTGCCAGAAACCTGCTGGGGATACAGTCCTGAGGCTGGTTCTAAACAAGATAACTGGTGCCCACAGGGATTTCACCCATATTGTAGGCCCCAGCCAAATCCAGCCAACAGACAGGTGGAGCTCTCTGAACTTTCAAGACACTAAATGGGCATCTCCAGAGGCCTTGGAGAAAATATTCTTCCTTTAGTTATCAGCACACCCACACTTTGCAAGAGAAATGTCAGCTCCAAGGGCTCTTGAAGGGTAGAACAAAACACCATCCTGCAGCTGAGGTGCTACTTATGACCTTGGCCTGTGCATATTGCAAGTTATCAGTGACTCTGACTTTGAGAGTCATTTTTTCAAGCATCTTCTGATGTATGGGGTACTGCATTCTCGTGACCATGCTCGTGAACACCTACAAGGGCATGGCAGACGAGTCAGCATGGGGGCTTCTAAAACCTTTGGTTTTATATACATAAAATATGTATCATAATGTTATGGTTAATGTTTTCATAGTTTTGCTTCATTTTTCCTTGCAAAGCAATCATAAGAGCGAATGTGATTAAATAAATTATATCCAAGAATTCTGCTCGGAAAAATACAAAGTGTTTATCGACTCCAAGAGTCAGATGAGTAATGTGAATAGATGGAGTGAGCTGAGAGCCCCACCCCTGGAGATCCTTATTTAGTGGGTCTTGGGGAGAGGGAGTTGAGAATTCACATTTCTGCCATGTTCTAGTGACACTGATGCTGCTGGCCTGGAGAGCATGCTCTGAGCACCACTGCCCAGTGATGCAGAAGTCTAGGTGACTGTGGATTTTGTCAAATGATTCCAAATAATATAGATGATGCCAAATTGGTGTCTCATAGAGCTTCCTTAGAATGTTGTTATTATCAATTGTGAGGTTAATCAAGCACACAGCATACGTGTGGCCTGGTGGCGCATAAAGCTGCCGTCCAGGCCTGGGAGAGCTGGGTGGGCCTGCAAAGAGAGGGCAGGTTTCCTCCTCTCTCTCCCACCTCTCTCCACAATCAAGCACACAGCATACGTGTGGCCTGGTGGCGCATAAAGCTGCCGTCCAGGCCTGGGAGAACTGGGTGGGCCTGCAAAGAGAGGGCAGGTTTCCTCCTCTCTCTCCCACCTCTCTCCACGTAGGCTGACGCCACACAAAAGGCCAGGTCAAGGCCTTGAGCAACTTCTTCCTGGAATGGCACTGGCTTGTCTCAACCCCACTGCTTCCAGAGCTTGAGCCAACCCTGAACTGGGGGGTGGGCCGTTTCAATCCCAGGTTTGGTGGAAATTGGAGATAAGGCATCCCGAATAGCACATGACTTGCAGTCTGCCATCTGGTTCATTCCCACACCCTGAAAGTCTGTGTCATTTGCATCTGTTTGGAAACAATGGGATTCAAGCCAACAGCATGAGACAGAAGGCCACCTCACTCTTGGATTCCCAGTCCCTCAGATTCTGGTCACCAAACTCAGCACCACTGGAGTGAACCATCCTTCTGGCCCACTGCAGAGCATGGAGTCCCAGCCCTAAACAGACACTCACGCACATCTGGCTGCCTCTGTCAAAACAGATCTCCTGCACCATGGCATAGGATGAGATGTCTGTTCTCCCAGCCCAGGTTTTTTAGCTGATGGCACTAATTCCAACAGGGAATATCTCAGCCCCACCCTGGCTCTGGTTTCAGAGCTAGAAGATTTTTCTAGGAATAATTTGGTGTGGCTAAGTTTAAAAAACAAAAAACAAAGCCTTCCTATCAGAAAAACTGTGTAAGTGCTTTCTGAGGGTTTTAAACAAGGAAGCTACTCAGACGTTCTGCTGAACAGGAGAAAGTGGCAAGTTTATTCTGGAGTTCATTTTCTTGCTAAATTTAGCTGAGAAAGGGATGTAAGGCACATTATTATTTTGTCCTTTATAGGAAGAGATGACAGGTTGGTTTGGTTGGGGGAGAATCATTTCTCTTGGGAGAGGTGATCTAATACTCTCAAAGAGAACCATTTAAACTCATCCAGAAACAGGGGAGGAAGCAGACTGTGTAATACCTCCATGTTTCTGAACGAAAAGGGGCTGCCTTTCTGACTTGATTTTAAGGAAGTATCAAGCACATAATTGTGCTTTAAACCATCCCCTTCCCCCTCCACCCTAAGGAAAGCACAGGGGACATACCCAGTTTTTGTAAGGGTGGGCTGTTTCTAAAGACAGGAGGACAGAGAAGACAGCTGCGCTTAAGTGAAGGTACTGAATTACATCACTGCCCCTGCATCTCCATCTCTCTCAACAAAAATTGCTAAGAAACGTGAAGAAAGGCCCCATTTCCAATGGCCGCAGTTCTCTACAGACACCAACAAATTTCCCTAGTAGAGAACAGATACTTTGCTCTATGAAAGTAGAAAATGGGGGGGACCAGCCCGTGGCTCACTTGGGAGAGCGTGGTGCTGACAACACCAAGTCCAGGGTTAAGATCCCCTTACCAGTCATCTTTAAAAAAAAAGAAAGAAAAAAAAGAAAATGGGCCTGGCTTCTTTGAAGCCAACTCAAGGCATCTCTGGGACCACCAGTCATTCAACTCATGAGTCCCTGGTGGCCCAGGTGAGCTACTCTACAGTGGAAGAGCTTCTTCTCTCCCCAGCTCATGCGTGCTCTTGACCTTTTCCTCAGCAGCGAACGGTTCTAGATCCAGCAGGGCTCACAGAAAGGAAGATGGCAGCAGAACAAAGTGCTGAAGAGCTGGGCAGAGATGATCTCAACACTAGCATTGAATATTCCAGAAGTCTCCAGAGTGTGTGTGCATGCGATGTCAACTGTAACGGCATAGATGGCGAGTCAGGGTTAGCCTGTCCTCTGTGCCGATTGCTGGCTGGGACTAATTAAAGCCGTCATCATGTAATTTCTTGGTGCTTTAATGTTCTAACAGAATAAAATCTGATAAAAAGTCTTGGTTTTTTTTCTCTGAATTCATTGAAGCAGATCAAATAAAACATTTGAGAGTGGGTCAGAACAGAGGTAACTTTTAAATGCTTTTAATTAGTTCATTGACCCTTTAACTCTTTCAGGATTGGGCTGGGCAATTAGTTTGGGCACCGAAGACCACAGCATTATGGAGCTTTGCGTGTTAAACACGCTGGCCATGGGGGCACCTGCTTCCTCCAGGTTTTCAACAGCCTTTAAGGAGCTAAAGCCAAGGGTTTATAGAAGCCTTGCAAGTATAAAGGATGCAGAGATTACTTTCAAAATTTTAATTTTCTGTAAGACAACTTCAGGGTTAAATTCTTTTATTTTAAAAATTTTATTATGGAAAATTTTATACTCATATGAAAGTAACCATATATAAAATAAACATATATAGACATAACAGTAGCCTCCCCATGTAGTTGTCACTCAGCTTCAACCATCGTTAATATGTGTCCATCTTATTCCACCTCTGTCACCACAAATTCATGTTCCTCCTATATCGCTTTGAAGCAAACCTGTAAGTTTAAGTGTTAACATTCCTCTCCTAGATAAAAACTCTTTAGGGATTATTTTTATTTTATCCATAAGGCACGCACACTGAATTATTATTATGTGTTGATCACTGCGGGGAATAAAGGGACAAATACATGACAGCCCCTGCTTGCAAGGATGTTATGGTCCTGAGGAAGAATTAGGACACCGTGACTATTGTATACAGCGGAAGGAACATCCATCCTGGAGATCAAAGTACCTGCCGATGGAGTAGCCCCATCATAGTGGTTGGGGAGAGACCCTGCTTCCTGTACGAGGGTACTGCAAAAAGTTCATGGAAAAATAGAATGAAAGATAATACAAATTACTATTTACGTTTAGCAGGACAGTGATGAGGCCACTCATTCAAACACTCAGCAGCCAACACATATGGGATGTTAAGATCAGAGAAGCACTGACTCACAGCACAACAGGCCCCCAACTCTCTTCCCAGACGTCCCCAGGGGGTTAGCAGAGATGCTCATCTTATTTGCACACTTGCTATGTCCTCATTCATTCAGTTAGCAATCACTCACCGAGTGCCTGCTATGTTCTTAGCACTCTGATAGGTACTGGAGATACGAGAATGAATATTCAAGGGGCTCACAGTCTAACGAAGAGAGAGATTCGTAAATGACTGTCTTCCCAGGCTACAGGTGCTCTTATGAAAGCTAATATAGAGCGAAGGGGCATAAAAAGAGAAGGTTAATTCTACTGGATAGAGGTCAAAAATGCCTTCATAGAACAATTCACCCTTGAACCGACTCTAGAAATGAGTAGATTTTTGACCAGCAGAGGGAGGAGACGGTTGAGGGGTAAGCGTGCAGAAAGGGATGAGATTTCAGGCATCAGAAGTGGCATTAAGGTGCCATTTTCATGGATGAGAAAGCGCTTTCAGCATCCAGGAAATGGTCCTTGCAGTGGGTAGTGGGCATGGTGGGAAGAGGTTGCTGCAGAGGTGGGCTGTGACCAGACCATGGGGAATATCTGTGTCACGGGAAGGAGATTGGTTGTTTTTCCTGCAGGCGCATGGAATGCCTGCAAGATTTGAGCATGTCCTCCCTCCACCCTGCAACCCACGAGTTCCCACCAGCAGGAGACACTGAGAGGCCACTCACCTGGTAATGGGACAGCCAGTGCAGTCCTCCTGGGTTGGCCCCCAGCACTTGGCACAGGAGGCTTCACAGATCTGGCAGTGACCATACTCATCAACGTATTCTCCTGGGGAACAAAATCTGGTTGTTTACTGCATTTCTACGTGGCAAGCCTGCCTGGGCTGTCAGTCTGAGAGCAGCCAGACCTCTCTGTGGCTGCCTGAAAGCAATGGAGACAACCCAGAGGGAAGAGGCCCTGAATGGCTTCAGCTGCCAATCCTTAATCCTGACCTTATACTAACAACTGCTCTTCTCCCAGAGGCCCCAGAAGTTGGATTCTCAAAAAGTTATGAGGCAATAACATAATTTTGGATCTAGTCAACATGTGTTACAGATTTTATAAGTAGGGGAGGCCAAGGGGGGCTTCCCACTGGACCCCTTTACTGAGCTCCTATTGACTTTCCCATTAAAAGCGGAGGCCTCCTAGCCCACAGAGGCCCCAGTTATAGTCTTGGTTCAAGTCAAGCAATGAGCAGGACCCACCCAGATCTTGTCTTACTACCCCAGGGTGGGGGTGGGGTGGAGACTGTGGTGACTGGTCAATAATGCGAGTTGAGTCTTGGCTGACATTTAGCAGATGTGAACAACGTCTCACCCTGCGAGAGTAACAGTGAGAAGATAGCCAGAGAATTTTTCTTTTAATTGGAAAGTTTTTCTTTCCCAAGGAGACCCACATAGGAGGCTTTGCCACAGAAGGAAGTACAGCCTCACAAATTTCTTGTGAACATTTTAGAAACCACTCCCATGGCGAAGGTGGTGAAGAGAGGCCAGCCTCATCGAAGGTGGCAACCCATGGTAGGCCTCCTCCCACTGAATCCAACCCTCCTGCCCACAACATGCTCATTTCCCCTGCCGTTGTCTTACAAAAATCAACAAGCTTCTTCGGTCAGATCTGAAGAGCCACGTTTTCTGGTTTGGAAACTGATCATGCTCAGAAAATATAGTTTCAGGTTTTGGCAGAGTCACAGTTTCACTCGGCCCCAGCCCACTTGGAACTGTGACTGCCTGTAAGCGTGTCTGAACACTGTCAATCAGATCCAGCCGGGGTGGTGAGGTAGCAGGACCCGCCCAGGGTTTGATCGAATTGTCTCACTGAAACTCGAAGATTCACTGCCTCGTTTATTGTAGTTGCACTGAGAAAAGCCCTGCAGACGTAGACTTGACTGGTGAGGGATGGAGGGAAATCCACCCTCCTTCCTGCCTTTTCCCCAGAGCTTTACTGAACCGGTACAGTCAGGTCAGGTAAACCTTACATACATAAGCCTTCCACCTGCTAGCACGAAACCACAAAGGTAAAAATGAAGAGGCTGCTAGAGTTTGCCTTTACACCTCAGAAAAAGCCTTTCACGTGGAGTTGTTCTATTAGTTTTGTTAACTGAAGGAGAGAAGCGTATGTTCAGACTGATGCACGCGTCTAACAGCAGCATAGCCTACCCCACCGACTCTGTTCCTCTGTATCTTCTAATTGTTCCCAAGATCCAGTTTGGACCAGGATTCTGATATATAATGTTTAGAATGGGATTGTAGTTCTCAGCTCAGGAGTGGGTAGGAGACCTCCTAGGAGATGTAGGCCCCGAAGAGTGAATAACCAGCAGAGACAAAACATGTGCAGGTGCAGGTGGTTCATGTCCAAGGTGCCTGCCAGCCCAAATGGTCAAGTAGAGGCTGAAATGCAGCCCCATGCCATGCACTCTGGTGTCGGCTGCCCCTGCCTCTGTAGGGGAGCCTTTTACTGACTCGCACAAAGATCTTGAATGGACTAGTTGCATTCTTGCTCATCAGCAGTCCCCAGACAGAAAAAAGCTGGATTTCCATCTAGTAGAAGAGGTGATTTCCAGTTCAGACTGTCTCACTTAGTACGGGCATCATATTTATGAAGACTTCTTTTTATTTATTCAGGCTCCCCCACCTCAGCCCCTACTTATTGCCCTTCCTATAATCTCTTCCACTGTGGCCATAGGAGGCACAACCCATAGACCCAGTTGAGGATCCAGGGCAGACCTGGTGGGAAGAAGTAGATCTTGCCTGCAGGGGCCATGCAAACAATTTGTGTTTACAGAGTCAGATGATTCCTATGCATCTTTCAAAAGATATATGCTGAGTGGAAGAGGAATGAGGGAGGGTCGCAGAGGCTTCAAAGCCCAAAGAAAGCATATTCTAGAGAAATCTGGGCTTACAGTGAACACAGCTTTTCCATTTATTCATTCCATGGGTATTTTCTAAACAGGTATGTACATGCCAGGTGCTGGGTGAGATTGAGAGACATACAAATGAATGGCCCTGCTCCTGGGTTCTCAAGGATTTCTGACAAGAATGACTTATAAAGAGGTGGTTATAACCCAGATGCTGGCCAGGAGCCTTCTACTTGCTGAAACAGTCAAGATTAAAGACTAAAAAAATTTAGAGTGTGGTGCTGAAAACACCGAGGGCCAGGGTCCAATCCCTATACTGGCCAGCCACACAAACACAAAATAATAAATAAATAAATAAGAGAGAGACTAAAACAGAAGAGCAAAGGTGGACACTGGACACTGGACTCTGCTGGACCTGGAGGCAAAGACAGTTACGCAGCCTTGGCATTGGTGGCTACAGGAACTGAAACCGTGGTCTGGTTCTTCCAACTCTTCACATCCATCCCCTCAATCCCCGGGATGTATCAGATCCAATGCTAGGATAGGATTTTATGCTGGAAACACCTTGCTCTGCTAAATCAAATACTACTTAGATGGTTCTGAGAGTTATAGCCACACCCAGAGTCTTCTTTGTAATTACTAGGCTAGATCAGGCAAGGATTGTTAGGATATTACAGTGAAAATTTTAAATTTTCTTCCGTATCTCTCGTTTACCTCCTCACTGGCTTCCATAGGCCAGTAGGTGGCTTTAATACCTTGGCTTCCTATTTCCTTGATCTGCTGAATTATAATGACCTCGATTTGCATTCACAAAGTGCCGCCTTAGATGTAACGGCCACCAGGTGTTGCCCCATCTCCATGACTTTGAACCTGCCCTCCAAACACAAACTTCTCGTGCTCTGCTGTGTGGATTCCCCCGGTGCCCACCCTTCCCTTGGTCTCTTTCTAGCTCCCGCTCGCATTCCTCACCTGGGCTGGGCCAAACTGTTCCAAAGCCCAAGTTCCACCCATGAGGGAGACATCACCTCCTAAATCTGCTGATAAGATGTCTGAGTGTCCTCAGCTTCCTTTTTCCTCAATGTCAAAATTCCCCTCTGTCTTCTCCTTGACTGTTCACTTGGCTCCTGTTGCTGGAGAAGGTACATCTCTTCCCGGCCACTGAAACTTTCCATCTAATGTTACTAATCTTCTCACTCAGGCTGTTCCTGACCCAGTGCCTCTCTCTTCAATCTCTTCTTCATAGCTTCCATCCTTGTTTGATCTACCAAATTCTCCCCAAACTTCAAACCTTCCCCAAGCCCTTTCCCTCCCTGATGACTGACTATTAAAACTTGTTTTTTCCATCTACCATTTGGAAACAAAATGGAAAACACGGTGTGACCTTGCAGCTGATGTAAGAGAGTTTGAGCAGGACAGCCACACTGTGCATCTCTCTTGAGCCTGCCTGGTCACTCGACAGCAAGCTCTGCCTGGGAACAGATGAGAGTAGAAGGACCTGCCCATTCTCCTGTTTACGTAGACGTCCAATTAGTTACATAAACAACTGCCCCCATCTCTTACAGGCACAAGTTTTCTCCTGCGCATTTGGAGGCGGAGAAGCCAGATTCTAAGGACAGAGAGGGAAGTTGCTTTTTTGGGAGGGGGGTGGGGGGTTGTTGGAGCAGCAAATTTTTGTCATCTGTCTCTATTGCACAATAAAGCTGAATGTTTATGACAGGCGTGATATACAAAATTCTTAGGAAAAAGTCACTTTTAGCAGAGATTTCAGGATCCAGTATTTTGTTCTCCACCTCGTCTTACAAGTTCCTCTTTCTAGCTGCTTTATCCATTATTATTACGTCCAAATCATCTTTCTCCTGTGAGCAGCAATTTTTCATTCCCCTTTTAGTTCCTTTCTCATCTCATCCCATAACAGATCAAAGGACACTGAGGAAACGGGGTCACATGGGAGGAATGATGCTGCAAAAGTTGAAGACACAACTTAAAAATTAATACTTGTAAATTAAAACATCTGCCAGTAAGTGGTTTGCTCTGCTTCCTCCATTTCTTAATAACATCGCAGAATGTTATTGACAAGCCTAGGCTATAAATAAACTTTATAAAGTCATCCAGAATAGGTAAACATGCATCACATTACCCACAGTTACAAACCATGATTGAGACATAATAATGTTTTTTAGGTTTACATAGTCAGAAGAACTTCATTTCTCCTGAGGAAATTCTATGCTTTCTTCTATACCTCATAATATTTCTTTATTGATTAGAGGCAAATTTATTGTAGAATTTAAGCAAATAAATACATACACTAGATAAATTAATAAACTCATAGTAGATTATGATGTGAGTTTAAAACAACTTTTTAGCAAGATAATTAGTAAGAGAAGGTGCGAGGAATATTTGGTGAGAATTCAGCTCCTTCATTTTTGATCTGATTATTTTAGTGAGTGACCTTGGCATATTGAATTATCTGTAAATGTCTGTGTGGGGCCTATGAATGTGCCTTATTGCTCAGATGCCAGGAATTATAGAGTGTGACTTTACTGAATGATTCTACAGCCTTAGTGCTAATCAGAGAATCCCGTCTCTGCAAAGATGCCGATCCATAGATTCCAACTTAAGATACCACTATGTGAAGACAATTTTCATGAAAAAAACTCTATCCATGTATTACTTTCCACCAGCTACAATAAATGCTCAGCAATGCTTTCAACTAATTATATGCTAATGAAATAAGTCAGTTTTTAAAGCCTCGTTAAGCATGAAGTTTTATAACAAGGCTCAAAATATGAGGCCTTCATCTGAGACTGCAACATATTTAAAGTCTATACAATCATTCAGCCTGAAAAAGGAAGGGAATTCTGACAAATGCTACAGCATGGATGAACCTTGAAGACATTATGCTAAGTGAAATAAGCCAGTCACAAAAGGACAAATA